TTTCTCTCTTTTTTCCAGCCTCACCTTCGGCTCCGGCTCCTGCTCCTGCTCCTGCTCCGGCTCCGGCTCCGACTCCATGCCTGCCTGCGACCCTCTGGCCCTTCCGTTTTAAAGGTGGAAAAATACTTTTCGCTGAATTTGTAGAATTTTCTCAGCTCACATACTCACAGTGAACAGAGAGCAGAGAGGGGGGGGCAGCTGGGTGCTCATGTTTCGAATGCCAAATTGGGGGGGCAGTGGCAAGGTGGTCCGAGGCAAGATGCGGGCAACGTTAAGTTGCAACTTGTTGCCTGCTTGGGTTACACGATTTGCGTCTGTTCATCCGTACATCTGCTGGTCCCCGTCCTGGTCCGGTCATATCCTTGTCATTGTTATACCCCGCTCACGTGGCGTACAGGGTGTGTGCAGCAAGCGCTCGCTCTCGATTCCATAAGCTATACTCTTGATCGGTACGTAAACCCATGGCCAGGTCCAATATAATTGGAAAAAAAAAACCTTGTATTGGTCGCTAAACTTCACAGACCCGCTTTCCCTTTTGATCTTTAAACAAACCGACTCAAGACTCTGCAATGGGAATCTGCTCGTCGGAGCACTGGCCCATTGCGCAGCCACTTGTTAATTTATGCGCAGACAAAGCTTGAACTTTAGCATAACTTAAGAATCGGATGGGGCGAAAGCGAGTGGCTAGGGGCACAGGCAGAGGCAGAGGCAGAAGAAGTGCGCCGTACCATTGGTGCTGTTTGCCGCCAGTGGCAATATAATTGGATCTACCGTGTGGATTGCCGTTTGGTAACAAATTCTGTTGAATCCGACCAAGCCACGGTCAAAGCTGGAAAGTGAATTTCCGGCCAGGCCCTTTCGTTCTGAAAGCGAATTGTCTTCAATTCATTCAGGGAACATCATTAGGTTGACATTTAACAACTAATTTTCTAACGAAATTTTATCCCAGTGTTGGAATATGCCAGATACATATATGAAGAAGAGCATGAAACAGAGGAATAAATCGGCGGTCAATATAGGGGAATTCCCGATCCCTCTCCCACTCGCTCTCATTATGAGAGTATGGATGAAAGGGAGCTGATTAATGAAGCAGCGGACAATGTGAGGGGAACTCCTGAGTCCTTTTCGATCCTGTCCAATCCCTCGCTGCCGCTAACCCAGCCCAATGATTCCCATATCCAAGGGGTAGCTGCTAACAAGCGTCATAATTACGGTTTTCCACACACGAATACGCCTGCACATTTGCAGTTCGTTTGCCGCAGTCGCTTCTCTGTATCCGTATCCATATCCCGCTTCTCCTCCAGCTCTCCATCTGGGTCTGCGACTTTTCCATACTTTCTGGCAGAGCCGCAGCGGAAACTTTTAATTTTCGAACTTTTGTCGCTCGCTCGGCATATGTTTTCGGCTGCTCCCCAGTCCCCGCATCGAGTGGATTGTCCCAATCCGATGACGTCTTAGTAAGCAAGTGGCCGAGAACGGTGGTAGAAACTTTACCGACTCACGGCATACCAGCGTCTTGGGCAATTTGACTCGAGGACAAATGCGGTACGAATACATGTACATAAAAATTCTTCCATTAATGGGTGCTTATACAACTTCTTCGAAGGAGCTTCGATTTCAAAGCATATATTCACCTGATTTAGGGGCAACCTTGTGGACCACGTGAAGAAAAACTCCTTTCGCTGTTTTGAAATCTACCACTCGGATTTGACTATCGTGGCCAGTGATCATAGGAACGATCTGAACCAGTTGCCACTGTAGCGGAGGCAAGTTATCTTCATGAACCAGGACGAGCCTATTGGCTTGCACATCTGTTTCTGGTTTAAGTCATTTGGAACGATGCCAGAGGTGCGTTGAGTTTGTATCGATATCTTTTCCATTGCTACTGTAAAGAATAAAGCTGCTTTCTCGCAATCGTTGATCCTTCATTACTGTAAAGGAACAAAATGAAAGAATAGGTACAATAGATTTTAGCAAGATACAAAAGAAAATCTGCATAGCTGAAGACTAAGAACTAACTCATAAGAATTTCCGGAGTTTTCTTTAGTCAACAATGTGGTCCTCTTTTATCGTTTAGGGCTGCGGCTGCCCACTCTGCACTATGCGAATGCTAGTCACTCGCTAATTGCAAACAAGGTTGGCAGGGCCGCAGCACGGAGCAGGGCCAGTGGGAGGGAGACCGAGATAAGCCAGCGGAATACGAACATACATATATGTATGAACATAAGTACATGTAGTGTCTCTCGCTCTCGCTCTCGCTCTCGCCTACGAGCACAATGTGCATTCATGCATGCTGTCGGAGGAGGACTGGGTGTGGGGTATGGCAGAACTGGGGCTCGGACCTATCGCTTCGTTTTTAACAGCACCGCATTTGCATTTATATGCACATCCTTTGTGCCCAAAGGATATTACATTTTTCCACTTCAAGCATTTTTGTGAATTTAATGAAATTTTTAATTTTTATGCGCGGCAGATGGGGGGTACTCTGGATGCACGTTGCCACTCCGGCTCCCGCACCTACACCCTACTGCTGCTGTCCTGCTGACATTCCCTATCCCCATCCGTCTGTCTCTCGCTTGGACTAACAGCCACAGATACACATATATGCCGCATTTGCTTTGCATTTTCAGTCCGCCAGTCACTGCCCGGACCCTCGACTCCCATCTCCAGTGAGCGACTCTCCGCAAAGATAAACAAAAACGGGCAACACACTGGGCCATGGTATCTCCCATTACACTACTTTCCCCATGGGGGAACGGGAAGGGATTGTGGCAAAAAAGTTGGATTGGCTTTTGGTTTGCACTTGTAGTGCAGTTTACAATCTCTTGGATTGCGGCCACTTTCCTGATGAATACCACTAGAAGAATGCTCAGCTTGATTGCTGTTGAGCCTGTTCGGTGAGGGATACGCAGTGTGCGAGCATGAACGGATACTGATCCATGCGGGGAAAGCTGCTTCTCATGCAATCCTTCTTAAGTTGAGAAAATAGACGGACTGGATAATCGGATGAGGGCTTATTGAAAGCAAAGTCTCGTGGAATTTGGTTCCCATTCGAAGGAATTGAACTGTGTTAAAGATAGTTTTTTAAAATCAAGCAATTCCTATACGAATTTTTATCACTTACGACTCTGACGTATCGAAGAACGATCATCTCTTGTTAGTACATAAAATGGGCACAAACGTCTATACTTCGATTAGTCCAGGAAGCCTCAGCACCATTTTCATAGAGAAAACGAAAAGAAAAAAGAATACAAATAGTTTAAATATGAAACATAACACCTTACTTTTTTAGCTCGTGAACGATTTCTTTTCTTCTTTATCATTTCCATTCGCAACGAGCGTGTGCTTGATACAGGCCTTTAATAACCTACTGTATACATTTGGCATGGATGTTAACTGGATCAGATACCTTTACAATAGTCCTTAACAGCAGAAATTGGAGACGTTTTTCTAGTTTTCTGTGTGCTTCCTTTAAGGACCTGCAGTGGAAATTAGAAAATAAGAGTACGGATTCGCCAACGACAAGTGCTACTTACTCCAGGTCATAGAATTGTAATTTTCTTCCGGTTGAAACATAACACATACGCCTCGAGCGTATGCTTAATGCAGTCCTTTAATTACCTACTGTTTACATTTTGCATGGATGTTAACTGGATCAGATACCTTTACAATAGGCCTCAACAGCAGTAATTGGAGACGTTTTTCTAGTTTTCTGTGTGCTTCCTTTAAGGACCTGCAGTGGAAGTTATAGAATAAGAGTACGGATTCGCTAACAACAAGTCCTACTTACTCCAGGTCATAGAATTGTAATTTTATTTCGGTTGAAACATAACACATACGCCACGAGCGTATGCTTGATACAGTCCTTTAATTACTGTTTACATTTTGCATGGATGTTAACTGGATCAGATACCTTTACAATAGGCCTCAACAGCAGTAATTGGAGACGTTTTTCTAGTTTACTGTGTGCTTCCTTTAAGGACCTGCAGTGGAAGTTATAAAATAAGAGTACGGATTCGCCAACGACAACTGCTACTTACTCCAGGTCATAGAATTGTAATTTTCTTCCGCCTGAATTGGCGCGACATTCTATGTTGGCGATAAGATTTTGTCCATAAAAACCAAGCATTGTGCATACGAGATACGTAAGGGAGATTTCTCTAACCTAATTTTTCAATTTTACGCCAATATATCGGTTGTCCAGCGCAATGTGCAGTGGGAAGACTCGCATGTATCATACATTTCGTCCAAGAAGTTGCCATTCGACCGCAGAAAGAAAATTAAAGAAAGTAAGTAAAAACTTGTGCACTTTTTTTTAGCCGTGGCTACTCTGTACCTTGTGTGCAAATTTTGTGGACTGATAAGAACACAATTTCTGCGATAAACCTTGTAAAGTCCCCGCACGTTTGGGATTCTTCTATACTTGCCTTCTAGCTCGAGTTTCACTAGCCATTTCAATAGCCTCTTCGCTTTATTTTGCACATGTGCCACGAATTCACGCATTAATTTGTTCGACTCTTAAAAATGCTGCACATTGAGCTGGAAAAAAATCGATAGCACTATCGATATTTTGTAGAAACAAAATCCACAAAACATTTAAAAATATATGACAATGAAGAAGGGGAAGAAAGAGAAAAATAAGTATTGAACGTTTTTTATATATTCTTTCGACTTTGAATTCTCTTTAATTTAATCAATTTCTGTTGCTACTAAAACGATATATAGGTATGTTGCTATCGATATATATGTATCGAATATACATACATATGTACATACATTGGAACATTAACCTAATAGGATGTCCAGCTAAGATAAGCATGTATCTCAAACGAGCGGCATTGGCCCGCTCGATATGGATCTTCCAATTCACCATAGTGCAATAATAAAGTACAGCTTATCCAGATCTAAAGACAAGCGACTGCCATTAGGAAAATTTGACTGCAACAGAGCTCTGGAGCTGGAGGAACGTCAGTTGTTGCGGAACGAGCAACAAGGTACGAATGTCGTCGCATCTGTGGCTCCTAGTGGGCCTCCCTGTGGTGGCTTTGGCCGCTCTGCGTCCGGTGCAATTATACCAGATGACACCATTGTCGGCGGCTGCTATGGACATACTGGAGAAGCAAGTGAGTTCCACCCAAAGCACATTGGGGGTGATTGAGCTGATTGCAGAGGACCATGACCATGGCCACGTCCATCGAGACCACCGGCAGCAGGAGCTGCTCACCTCGATCCTGCGGCGGACGGGCACCTCGATGGCGCTGCGGCTGAACCAGGAGACCCCCAGCATGCTACCAGCGTCCTATGTCCTCATCCTGGTCAACTCGGCGGAGGCGTTTCGATCGCTCAGAGTTCATTTTACAAAAGCGCCACAGAGGCAGGAGTTCAACTTCCTAATTGTGCTGACGCGGCGCCTCGGCAGAAAGGCGGAGAGACTGGAGGCGATGCGGGACATATTTTTAACCTGTGTGAAGCGGTTTCACACGATGAATGCCATCATTCTGACCCAGCGGAACGACGGAGTGGTGGTCACATATGGCTTTCGACTCTACAGCAGGGATTGCAAGCTCACCCTGAGCTTGGACCTGCTCAACCGATTCGAAAATGGATCGTTTCGTCACACGACGGGCCGAATCTTCGACCGGGTCCTAGGCAGCCTCGGCGGATGCCCGGTCAGCGTCAGTTGGTATCCGGTTCCGCCTTTCGTCCACTTCTTGGGTGACATGGATGACCCCGAGGAGCGGAAAGAGGTGTGGCGGTTAACCGGTATCGATGGTGAGATTATCAAGGTCCTGTCCAAGGTCTTCAATTTCAGCATCAAGCTCATGCCGCCGTGTAAAAAGCAACGGACCTGCAACGGGAGCTGCAGCAGCTGCTTCGACCAGCTAAATAACGGCACCTCCTCGGTGCTGATCGGAGCGATGAGTGGCTCACACGCGAACAGAAGTCAGTTCACTACGACCGTATCCTACCACCAGAGCTCTCTCGTGTTTGTGGTGAATATAAAATCCCAGATAGGGGCCGTAGCACAGCTGCTGGTGCCTTTCTCCTCGACTGTCTGGCTGGCTCTGGTCGTAAGCTGCAGCCTCGTTGTGTTTGTTTTTTGGCTGAAGCGTAGGCGCCGAAATGGCGCCGATATTGCTGTCCAGTCACTGCTCGTGCTCACCACCCTGCTGGGAAATCCACTGGAGACGTTCCAGCTGCCTACGACCAGTAGGCAGCGGATGTTGTACTCCCTCTGGCTGTTCCTGGTGCTGGTGCTAAGGGTCGTCTACCAGGGCAAGTTGTATGACTCGTTCCGCTCGCCGTACAACCCGCCCTTGCCCAGCAAAATATCCCAGCTGATTGCCGAGAACTACACGCTGATCAGCCAGGAGTACTACGACTACTATCCGCACAACCTGACCGTTCTCTTCACGGAAAGCACTCAGGACCGCTTCGACCGCATTCAGAGGGATGGCGAGGACGAACGCTTGACCACCACCGCCCTGATCGCGAACATTGGCTATAACAATAGGATAAACTGGCAAACCAGTCATCTGACCCATGTCCGGGAGCACATCTTCCTCTACCAGCTCGTCATGTATCTGCACGTTCACTCCCTCCTAAAGTTTGGCTTCGATCGGAAGCTCAAGCAGCTGCAGTCCTCTGGAATTATCGGCTACATCGTCCACGACTTTGATCGGCCCCAGTACCGGGTGCCACCAACGGAACCCCACGAGATCTCTCCGCTCCCGTTGGAGGTCTTCTGCGGCCTTTACTTCATCGCCACGATTCTCCTGACTGCCGCTGTCCTGGCCTTTCTCGTGGAGCTACTCAGTGTGCGCGTGGCCTGGCTGAGGCGATACCTGGTCTAGAACCAGGCTCATACTTTGTGTCCTTTTCTCATTGTTTCATGTTTAATACATGTTTGCTTGGATATGGTTTGAGGGTGGGTGAATTTGGGAACGGTTTCCATCGGGTCGATGTATTGTATCTTTAAACTTTTGGATAGGATGTTTAACATGCTAAAATCCTTTTGAATGTTCAATAAAGTTGAGGACTTCAACTAGAATAGGCTCGGATCGGATTGGATTGGTCTAAGAAGCGCTTTTGTCCGTCCGGCTTTACGTTTTTTAAGGATCAATAGAACTTGGGTCTTGAGCTTGAGTTGGTTGGACAAGTACTCCCATACTCGTATGTAGCTGAATGTTTAAAGTTGGGAAGTTGGATTGCTTTGGTCTGGCTTACCTTGCCCCCATCCCGTCAGCCCATTGACTTTTGACCAAGTCACCGACATGCTCATTATCATCATGATGATGGGAAACCAAGCAGAGCCCGAACCCATCACCGAATTCCAGTTAGCTTTCGCCATCTGCCATCAGGTTGTGACACCGCCGCAGGCATTTTGTCTGTATGGGCCGTGTGCTGGTTGTGCCACCAGAAGACAATGGAAGGCCCTCGTTAGCCGTCAGAAAGAGCAACAAGACCGGGACAACATCAGGAGAACGAGAAGGGTTACTGGGTGGCAGGGTTACCGGGAAATAAAAAGATGGAGAAAAACAAGACACGTCCGACATATTCGTAGAACGAACTCATTAGCCTACATGGCCGCATTTTCCGCCTACACATGTGGCAGGTCCCCACAAATGGGACACAAATGCGCTCCAGCTTGTTGCAGCTATGCCCCTTGTTGCTACATATTTTGTTTGCCTAAATGCCGGAAGTGTTGCGGGCCACAGCAGAAGAGTGGTTAAAGGAGTGGAGCCATGGCCGAGGAGCATTCTCGGTGTGCCCCACCCAAAACTGCTGCAAGCAACAAATGTTGCCAGCATGTAGCATTCAATGTATGATGTGTGTCGTTAGGTAGACCCGTACCAGTGCCCCCACCGGTGCATAGCCGGTCGGAGAACACTCTTCCTCTTACTCGTGGAAAGGAAGACAGTCGAAAAACCTAGTGTTAGAATTGTCCACATTGGCTTTCTAAAGATACGCTGCAAATTGGTCTGAGTGTCGTGCATTCGGTGATTGATCCAATGGAGAGACCCGGGATTCATCAGCTCCCTGCTGCTGCCCCGTCTAGTATAATGAGAGGGTATCACGCCTTCGTTGAACGAACCCACGTTGAGTTCCTGTTTGGTTGTTCAACATTTACTGGTTACCAGTTAGCCTCATCAACAGCATCGTCATCGTCGTCTACATCTACATTGTCGTTGTTCTAACTCTTAATTATGCCTTTTAAGCCATACCAGACTTGTAAACGTAGTTGTCGTCCAGTTGTCTTTCTGGCTGCTGTCTGTCGTCTACTAAGCAAAAGTTTTTGTGCTAATGAAGAGATTTGCATTCGGCCATATTAATTACATTGAATTGCCCTCTGAAGAGCGTTCGATTCTCCCTGCCCCCGTCAGTGGCGATGTACCTGTCCCTGCCCCAATCTGACATCCAGCCAATGGGCAGACACTTGACGCCGCCAGAACGCCCCCCGGCCCTGCGGGACATGCCGACCAGGCCTACAACCCGTGCGGCTGATAAGAGCTGATAACAAAGGTAAACAAAGGCCGTGCGCCAGATGCACGGATGGCCTGATGCCCGCGTTGCCTGGTCTTTGGCGGGAAACGCTGTAATTCGTCAGACAGCCCGCTGCCCGGAGCGCATGCGCTGGCACTCGGCAGCCGTCTGGTTGGGCGCCTTGTCCTCGTCGTCGTCGTCTTCATCGTCATCGTCGTTGTTTTAGTCGCCGTGGCAGTCGTTGCGGTATAAGAGCAGACTGAAACCAGTATTACTGCGACACTCGCAATAGTGGGAAATTTATGCAAAGGCTATACATCAGCCATTAGGTTCGGTTTGTCTCCTCTGAAGATCAGACACAGAATTAATTACGTGATGGTCTTAAGACCAAGGTTCTGTAGGGTATGCGATTTGTGTTCCCTGGAGGCTAAATATGGAATTAGTTGGATTTTCGTATTTGATGCTTAATGAAGAGATACGGTATTGGATTTAGTAGTGCATACTTCAAATATAAATGATGATCAGCAATGGAATAAATTAAGAATTTCTAATAAAGAACAATCTACGGCATATGAATCTCAGAACAAGGTTGTGCAGAGCCGAATTGGCCATTGAAATTAATGCCAGATACATCAGGAGTCTAGCGCATTGGTTTTCTTGTCTCAAGATCAGGATCGGCATAAATTGACGCTAAGTCAACGGTAAATAGTAAGCCATGAAGAGCCGCATGAATTTTATTTGACAAAATATGGATATGAAGCCAAGGTTTTGCAGAGCGAAGTCAAAGCGAGTTGGGAACTTTAATTATAAAAATATACATATATGCAAGATTCATCATACATATACAGCAATTTTCGAGCAGAGCCTAATAGAATCTCAATAAGTGCTAAACTTGGCCTTGCAATCTTGCCAATAAAAGCTGCTTTTGCGAGAGCTGGCAGCACAGTTAATGCCTTGCAACATAACAATGATGATGTTGCAGCAATTGTTGGCTCCAATCCTGATGGTCGCTGCATGTCTGGCCACTCAGGTACCATTTAATGCCTACCTGCCGCCACCTGGGGATTACGAACTAGATGATGCAGGACTCGCCTTCCTATCCGAGGACCAACACCCAGTCGGAAGGTATGCCCCCGACTTCGTGGACTATCCTGGGATCCATCAGGCTCTGCTGCTGAGGCAGCAACAGGAGTACGCCCTGGACTTGCCATTCGAGGGAGAGCTGCAACAGCAGCAGCATCAGCAGCAGCAACTGAATAGAGCTGAGACTTGGTGAATAAACATTCCTTTGCAAAATGATGTATGATAAATAAATGATTCTGCGGCCAGTGGAAGGGAGGCCGAAAAAAGAAACATGAACTCAAACTCAAGTCCTTTGGTCGATGGCTGCTGCACAACCGCAACTTAATCCCTGTCCTGTGTCCTTGGCAGCATCAAAAACTTTTGCCCCCGATCAGGGCATGGCTTGGACGTCTGAGCACCTCCCATCTTCCTGCCCATGGCCATCTCTGCTGAAGCGTTACCCCTCGCCGCCTGCGTGTGCGGTTTTAATCAAGTTTGACCACTTAAGTTTGTGCTCAGGTGGAAAACACTCGAAAGCCGCCTGACCGAACGAAACCTGACCCTGAACATGGGTCCCTCAGGCTCCTCCTGCGCCAAAGTTTCAAGAGCTTTACGACGCGTTGTCTTGTTTTAATTTTTTTTTGGTTTCTGGTAGGTTTCGCTTGTATACTCTTACCGATGATGGTATGATTATTTTGACCAGAATTCTCCAAGTGATACCAAGTACAATACATTGTTTATCACAATCTGTAATTAAGTTTTCCTTCTTTCTGTGCTTCCTGTTCAGGCAGTATGCAAGTCGGAAGGATCAACAAATTATATAGGTGATATATAGAAAGAAGGGTTTTAAAAGGGTATTGAAAGCTTCGCCTTTCAAAGCTGTTCTTCTCTTTTTTATTTCTGTTCCGTGGGATGGATGCGTTGATGATGGTGGAATGGTTGCCCGGCTGGGTCAACCTGTTACACATCTGTTCGCTGCATACGCATGAGCATATACGTATGTACCTACATATGTATGTATGTATGTATGAATGTACGAATGTCGGGGGCATTGTTTTTCCTTGCTATCCATTTCGTACGCCCTCACCCTCACGGGAACTAGCAGAACTTTTGCTGAAACTTTAAAATCAATTAAACTGAGTGCCCGCATGATTGGGCAAAATGATTGTGCATATGTCTCGTGTAGCTATTACTAGTAAGTTTACTCATTCAACCTCATTCATCAAAGTGGTTGAAGCAGGAAGAGGCTAAGCCCTTCCAGGGCGACCCCTTGGGGTGGCTGTAGTGTTGTCAGCGAAGATCTTTAGTTGGAATGGCGGTCATAGATTCCTTGGCGTGGTCTGTTTCCTCATAGATACATATAAGGTGGCCATGGACTGTGGCTATCTAAGTTTGATAGAGATACACTGAGAAAAATGGCTCAATAAAAAGCACGCAAATTTTAAATGAATATTCGGCTTTTAAATGCAAACATGGTTTAATTAAACTGAATTTACTTTGATTTAAAAATAAATATACTAAAAAGTTTTTTAAATAAATACATATTATATATTAAATTTGTAGGAACATTTATATATGAAACTATCTAATTTCAATTTGAAATTTATTCAATTTCAAAATGAAATATGTATATATATCAGAAATATTTTTGTATTACTTTCAAAATGTAAGTGCAAACATTTAAATTTTATCTCTCGGCTGCAAATGAATGTTATAAATATTTAAATCTTAGTGAAAATATTGAAATTTCGGAGTTTTATTTTTCTGGGTGTAGTTACTATAGAATTCAAGCTTGAGAATAGAATTTCGAGTTTTTATTCATATAGATTTATTTACAGTGATACAATTCTTGGGCCCAATATATTCAATCGTATTCCTTCTTACTCGTAAAGAATATACACCGTAGTAAAATGATTAAAGCAGTAAATACTCGTATATGGAATCGGAACACTGGAAAACTGGCTGTCTTTCCTTAAGCAAGAGGATTATGATCAAAAAGTAATAATTTCTCTAATTATAATTATTGATGGTGCTAAATAATCGGCTGTAGCTAATGGACACACAAAGAAATTCCTCGTAAAATATTGAAAGTATGTTTTAATATCATCATTGGGATTTTTTGTATCCATTTCTATAGTGGGAATATCGAAAAGTAAGCGAACTCGAGAGAGAAGGTTCTTTCCTTTGATTCTTCTTGACGCAAAGTGAAACTGTATGCTTTTAGTGGACATCATACATACATATGTACGAGTATGTGTGCATATGTGGGTGTGTGGGTGGCACGAGTGACGATTTGCCAACTGGCTGC